GCTCTCCACCTGTCTTCAAGGCGCGGTACGTGGCTCGTGGCTTCAGTCAGCGGCAGGGAGTTGACTACTTTCAGACCTTCTCTCCGACCGCGAAGATGACCACTCTTCGGGTGCTGCTACACATAGCCGCTCAGCGTGACTACGAGCTTCACTCCCTTGACTTCAGCACTGCTTTCCTGCAGGGTAGCCTGCACGAGGAGATCTGGCTGCGCCGTCCACCTGGCTTCACTAGGACTTTCCCTCCTGGCACCCAGTGGAGCCTCCGACGGCCAGTCTACGGTCTCCGCCAGGCACCACGCGAGTGGCACGACACACTGAGGACTACGCTTGCGGCTCTTGGGTTTGCTCCCTCTACTGCTGACCCGTCGTTGTTTCTGCGCACCGACACCTCTCTGCCGCCGTTCTACATCCTCGTGTACGTCGACGACTTGGTCTTTGCCACTGCTGACACTGCTGGACTCGCCCACGTGAAGTCCGAGCTGCAGAAGAGACACACGTGCACAGACCTGGGTGAACTGCGCAGCTACCTTGGCTTGCAGATCACCCGGGACAGAGCACGCCGCACCATTACCTTGACTTAGTCACACATGGTGCAGCAGGTCCTTCAGCGCTTCGGCTTCACGTACTCCTCGCCTCAGGCCACTCCTCTGTCTACTCGCCACTCGCTCTCAGCTCTGCCTTCGGATGAGTCCGTAGAGTCGAGTGGCCCGTACCCAGAGCTTGTTGGCTGCCTCATGTACCTGATGACCTGCACACGACCTGACCTTGCATACCCTCTTAGCATTCTTGCACGCTATGTTGCTCCTGGAAAACACACACCAGAGCACATGGCTGCAGCGAAGAGGGTGTTGCGCTACTTGTGCAGTACGTCGGGCATGGGGCTAGTGCTTGGAGGGCGGAGTCCAGTGGTCCTCACTGGGCACGCGGACGCTTCTTGGGCTGACGACCAGGCTACGCAGCGGTCGTCACAGGGTTACACCTTCAGCCTTGGTTCCGGCTCTGTTTCGTGGCGGGCTACTCGCTCGTCTTCTGTTCTCGGCTCCAGTTGTGAGGCTGAGATCTACGCCGGTGCCATGGCTGCACAGGAGCTTCGCTGGCTCACCTACCTGCTGACTGACCTAGGAGAGCCGCCTCGTTCTCCTCCAGTGCTGTACGTAGACAACAAGGCCATGCTGGCCTTGTGTCGGGAGCAGCGCCTGGAGCACAGAACGAAGCACATTGCTCTCCGCTACTTTCTTGCTCGTGAGTTGCAGCAGCGTGGTCAGTTGCGACTTGCGTACGTGGCCTCTCAGGCCAACACTGCTGATGTTTTCACCAAGGCACTTCTGCCTTGTGATCATCAGCGCTTCTGCACTCAGCTGGGTCTTGTGCCTGTCTTGCCTCACTTGCTCACCCCTTGACCTTGCTTGTACTCTTACATATATATATACCTGCTCTTGCTTGTTTAGCCTTATATATATATGTGTACTCCTGCATGTGAACTGGCTTTGTCGCCTTGACTTTGTGCTCGGACTGTGTGGTGACGTTGTGATCCACCCTGAGCTTTGTCTGCTTTGCTTGACTGGTCTTATGACCCCTTGTTCTCCCCCACTTTTCCTATGGGGGTGTGTCAAATTATAATATTGTGTAGGCTATAGTGGGGTAGCCTATATGGGGTACACATTTCTAGGGTTGCATATTTGTATCACTTCCATTCGTTAGTCATTCCATTCTCGTTCTACTTTCCTCACCAGCTCCGCCTTGTACTGTCAGAATCCCAACCACTAGACCATTGGGATAAAAGGGCTTGTTAAGTAGCGGGTCAGTGCGCCCATAACCCCCCAGGCCAACGTGCCTGTAACCCTTCCCTAGGATCAATCGGGGATCACCAGTGGACCTCTGACACCCCCCCCCCCGCACTGGGATGCCCGAAGTGCATACACCGGGATTCGAACCCGAGGCCTTCGCTCTGATACCATGTCAGAATCCCAACCACTAGACCATTGGGATAAAAGGTCTTGTTAAGTAGCGGGTCAGTGCGCCCATAACCCCTCAGGCCAACGTGCCTGTAACCCTTCCCTAGGATCAATCGGGGATCACCAGTGGACCTCTGACATGTACCTGCACACAAGCGTGCATGCTAACCGAACCGGCCTGCGCATCATTTTCTCCGTAAATCTACAGTGAATACCATATATCTTTCGCTTTTCCTTTGAATTATACCATTCCCCACCCCCCTACAAGGTTCTAACCTTTTGGATCTATGTATTTCGCCAAGTGTAGGCATTCAAGTCGTGCATGGTACCTGCACTATAGGCACGCATACTAACCAAACTGACCAACGCATTACTTATGTTTGTAGAGATGCAGTTAGTATTATTTTTCTGCCAGTCCACTAGACTAGGCCATCTTCTTTAACAACACTATGTTTTAACCTTTAAGATTCACATAATTTAAGAGATTTCAAAGCTCCAGTTCCACCTTGTACCTGCACACAGACGTGCATACTGGCCGAACTGACCAATGCATCATTTGTTTCGTATAAATGCATTGAATACCAAATATTTTTCGCATTTCCTTTGAACAATACCATTCCCCACCCCCCTACCAGGTTCTAACCTTTTGGATCTATGTAGTTCGCCAAATATAGGCATTCGAGTCGTGCATGGTACCTGCACTACAGGCACGCAAACCGACCAAACTGACTAGCGCATTACTCATGTTTGTAGAGATGCAGTTAGTACCATATTCTTGCCAGTCCACTAGATTAGGCCATCTACTTTAACAGCGCTAGGTTCTAACCTTTTAGATCCACATAATTTGGAAGATTTGAGAGATCCAGCTCCGCCTTGTAACTGCACACAAGTGTGCATACTGACCGAACCGGCAAGCGCATCATTTTCTCCGTAAAACAACACTTAATACCATATATCTTTCGCATTTCCTTTGATTTATACCATTCCCCACCCCCCTACTAGGTTGTAACCTTTTGGATCTATGTAATTCGCCAAATATAGGCATTCGAGTCGTGCATGGTACCTGCACTATAGGCACGCATACCGACCAAACTGACCAACGCATTACTTATGTTTGTAGAGATGCAGTTAGTATCATTTTCCTGTCAAACCACTAGATTAGTGTCAGAATGTTATTATCTAGCCTGTAGTGGGGTGCTCTATAGCGAGTACAACCCTGTTAGGGTTTGCTATATGTATCCCAACTACTACTAGTGAAACTCCTCCTTTCTTCACATTCCTCGTTCTTTCACATGCTATCAGAGTAGGTCGACCCTCCTGGGTCGTTCTGGTTTTCTGCCCGCCGTGCGCCCCAGGGCGTGCGGCGGCTCTCTGCCCGCCGTGCGCCCCGAGGCACGCGGCGGCTTTCTGCCCCGTCGGTCCGCGCGGCGCCCCCGGGGGGCGCTTCGACGGGCGACGGGGACCAGCCCGTCGTCCCCGGTCGCCCGTCCCGGCCAGCGCGGGCTGCGCTAGCCGCGAGCGCGGCCCGTACGGGCTGCGTCCGGCCCGCGCGCGGCCCGTACGGGCTGCGCCAGGCCCGCGCGCGGCTCGGGCCGCCTGCGCGCGGTTCGTCTGGCTGTGCCAGGCCCGTGGGCGGCCCGTTCTTCTCTGCCCCTGAGCTGCCCGCTGTCCCCCGTGCTTCTGACGGCGCCCCACCCCTGCTGCTGCCCGTTCTCCTGAATTAGGGTTTGGGGGTGGGGGGTATGGGGGTGCAGTTTCTGTGCGCCGTCCTCTGCTCCTCCTCTTCCTCCGTCTCCCACTGCTGCAGCTGCCGCTGAGGGGGGTGGATGTGTTGTGTTGGAGCCGTCGGAGTGGTACGAGGGGGTGACATGGGAGTGGAGTTAGGGGTGAAGCAGTTAGGGTGTGTGTCAAGGGTGTGGGTCAGTTGGAGGAGGTTGTGTGGAGGTAGCTGTCGTGTCGCCTGCAGCGCCTGTAGTTCGTCGCCCTTGCTTCGGTAGCCAGTGAGCCTGTTGCACCAGTCGCCAGTGGGTCCGTTGCTCCTGCCGCTCGTCTTAGCCGCGGAGCCAGTCACTCCAGTAGTCCGTCGCCCTTGCTTCGGTAGCCACTGAGTCAGCCGTTCCTGTGCCCGTGCCTCTGCAGATTCAGTCGTTGCCTCCCATCTTCTCTCCTTCCACAGTTCCTCCTCCTCCTCACTTGCTCGCTGTGATTACCTCTAGCTTTGCTTATTATTGTGAACTCTTGCTCATTGTGCTGATTACACCCCACTTTGGCTATGTAGGTGTGTCAGAATGTTATTATCTAGCCTGTAGTGGGGTGCTCTATAGCGAGTACAACCCTGTTAGGGTTTGCTATATGTATCCCAACTACTGCTAGTGAAACTCCTCCTTTCTTCACATTCCTCGTTCTTTCACAATTAGGCCATCTACTTTAACAACACTATGTTCTAACCTTTAAGATTCACATATTTTAAGAGATTTCAAAGCTCCAGTTCCACCTTGTACCTGCACACAAGCGTGCATACTGACCAAACTGACCAATGCATCATTTGTTTCGTATAAATGCATTGAATACCAAATATTTTTCGCATTTCCTTTGAATGATACCATTCCCCACCCCCCTACCAGGTTCTAACAATTTGGATCTATGTAATTCGCCAAATATAGGCATTCCAGTCGTGGATGGTACCTGCACTACAGGCGTGCATACCGACCAAACTGACCAGTGCATTACTTCTGTTTGTAGAGATGCAGTCAGTACCATACTCTTGCCAGTCCACTAGAATAGGCCATCTACTTTAACAACACTAGCTTCTAACCTTTTAGATCCATATAATTTGGGAGATATCAGAGATCCAGCTCTGCCTTGTACCTGCACACAAGCGTGCATACTGGCCGAACCGACCAACGCATTATTTGTTTCGTATAAATGCATTGATTACCATCTATTAATCGCATTTTCTTTTAATAATACCATTCCCCACCCCCCTTCCAGGTTCTTACCTTTTGGATCTATGTAATTCTTCTTCTTTTTTCATTCTATTCATAGATGGTACCTCCACTACAGGCGTGCATACCGACCAAACTGACCAGCGCATTACTTATGTTTGTAGAGATGCAGTTAGTACCATATTCTTGCCCGTCCGCTAGATAAGGCCATCTTCTTTAGCAACACTAGGTTCTAACCTTTCAGATCCGCATAATTTGGGAGTTTTGAGAGATCCAGCTCCGCCTTGTACCTGCACACAAGCATGCATAATGACCGAATCGACCCGCGCATCATTTTCTCCGTAAAACTACACTGAATATCATATATCTTTCGCTTTTCCTTTCAATTATACCATTCCCCACCCCCCTACGAGGTTCTAACCTTTTGGATCTATGTAATTCGTCAAATATAGGCACTCGAGTCGTGCATGGTACCTGCACTACAGTCGCCCCAACCGACCAAACTGACCAACGCATTACTTATGTTTGTAGAGATGCAGGTAGTATCATTTTCCTGCTAGTCCACTAGATTAGGCCATCTACTTTAAAAACACTATGTTCTTATCTTTTAGATCCAAATATTTTAAGAGATTTCAAGGCTCCAGTTCCGCCTTGTGCCTGCACACAAGCGTGCATACTGACCGAACTGACCAATGCATCATTTGTTTCGTAAAAATGCATTGAATACCAGATATTTTTTGCATTTCCTTTGAACAATACCATTCCCCACCCCCCTACCAGGTTCTAACCTTTTGGATCTATGTAATTCGCCAAATATAGGCATTCGAGTCGAGCATGGTACCTGCACTACAGGCGCGCATACCGACCAAACTGACCAACGCATTACTTATGTATTTGAACATGGGCCACACGAATATGCAACAATATTCTGGTTATTGGATGCTTTTGTTTTCGGTTATAGGGATCAATGCACTTCCTTAGCATTTGTGGGCACGCACGGCCGTCATCGCGGGCGCCGAACATTTCTGTGCGCGCGAACCAAGCTAAAGTTTCTCTGGATGTGTTTTTGAACATAAGCCACCCAAATATGCAACAAATTTTGGGTCGTTGGATACTTTTCCTTGCGCTTATAGGGATCAATGCGCTTCCTTAGCATTTTTGGGCAGGCACGGCCGTCATCGCGGGCGTTTAACTTTCCTGTGCGCGCGAACCTAGCTAGAGTTGCTCTTGAAGGTGTATTTGAATATGAGCCACCCAAATATGCAACAATATTTGCGTCGTTCAATGTTATTCTTTACGCTCATAGGGATCCATGTGCTTTTCTTAGAATTTGTCGGCAGGCACGGCCGTCATCGCTGGCGCCGAACTTTTCTGTGCGCGCGAACCAAGCTGAAGTTGCTCTGGGAAGGTGTATTTGAACATGGGCCACCCAAATATGCAACAATATTCGGGTTGTTAGATGCTTTTCTTTTCGTTTTTAGGGATCCATGCGCTTCCTCGGCATTTGTCAGCAGGCACGGCCGTCATTGCGAGCGCCGAACTTTTCTGTGCGCGCGAACCAAGCTGAAGTTGCTCTGGGATTGTGTATTTGAATATGGGCCACCCAAATGTGCAACAATATTTGGGTTGTTGGATGCCTTTCCTTACGCCTATAGAGATCTAAGCGCTTCATTAGCATTTGTGGGCAAACACGGCCGTCATCGTAGGCGCTGAATTTTTCTGTGCGCGCGAGCCAAGCTGAAGTTGCTCAGGATGGTGTATTTGAACATAAGCCACCCAAATGTGCAACAATATTCGGGTCGTTGGATGCCTTTCCCTACGCTAATACGGATCCATGCGCTTCCTTAGCATTTGTGGGCAGGCACGGCCGTCATCGCGGGCGCTGAACTATTCTGTGCACGCAAATCAATCTGATGTTGCTCTGAAAGGTGGTTTTGAACATGGGCCACCCGAATATGCAACAAAATTCGGGCTGTTCGATGCTTTTCTTTACGCTGATAGGGATCAATGCGCTTCGTTAACATTTGTGGGCAGGCACGGCCGTCATCGCGGACATTGAACTTTTCTGTGCGCGCAAACCAAGCTGAAGTTGCTCTGGAGGTGTATTTGAACATGGGCCACCCGAATATGCAACAAAGTTCAGGTCGTTGGATGCTTTTCCTTACGCTTTTAGGGATCAATGCGCTTCCTTAGCATTTGTCGGCAGGCACGGTCATCGCGGGCGCCGAACTTTTCTGTGCACGCGAACCAAGCTGAAGTTGCTCTAGAAGGTGTATTTGAACATGGGCCACCCGAATATGCAACAATGTTCGGGTCGTTTGCTGCTTTTCCTTATGCTTACAAGGATCAATGCGCTTCCTTAGCATTTGTCGGCAGGCACGGCCGTCATCGCGGGCGCCGAACTTTTCTGTTCGCGGGTGATGAGAGCAAGGAGGAGGGTGATGAGAGTAGGGAGAAGGGTGATGAGACTAGGGAGAATGGTGATGGGAGTAGGGAGAAGGGTGATGAGAGTAGGGAGAAGGGTGATGAGAGTAGGGAGAAGGGTGATGAGAGTAGGGAGAAGGGTGATAAGAGTAGAGAGAAGGGTGATGAGATTAGGGAGAAGAGTGATGAGAGTAGAGAGAAGGGTGATGAGAGTAGGGAGAAGGGTGATGAGAGTAGGGAGAAGGGTGATGAGAGTAGGGAGAAGGGTGATGAGAGTAGAGAGAAGTGTGATGAGGGTAGGGAGAAGGGTGATGAGAGTAGGGAGACGGGTGATGAGAGTAGGGAGAAGGGTGATGAGAGTAGAGAGAAGTGTGATGAGAGTAGGGAGAAGGGTGATGAGAGTAGGGAGATGGGTGATGAGAGTAGGGAGAAGGGTGATGAGAGTAGGGAGAAGGGTGATGAGAGTAGAGAGAAGTGTGATGAGAGTAGGGAGAAGGGTGATGAGAGTAGGGAGAAGGGTGATGAGAGTAGGGAGAAGGGTGATGAGAGTAGAGAGAAGGGTGATGAGAGTAGGGAGAACGGACGATGAGAGTAGGGAGAAGGGTGATGAGAGTAGGGAGAAGGGTGATGAGAGTAGGGAGAAGGGTGATGAGAGTAGGGAGAAGGGTGATGAGAGTAGGGAGATGGGTGATGAGAGTAGGGAGAAGGGTGATGAGAGTAGGGAGAAGGGTGATGAGAGTAGAGAGAAGTGTGATGAGAGTAGGGAGAAGGGTGATGAGAGTAGGGAGAAGGGTGATGAGAGTAGGGAGAAGGGTGATGAGAGTAGAGAGAAGGGTGATGAGAGTAGGGAGAACGGACGATGAGAGTAGGGAGAAGGGTGATGAGAGTAGGGAGAAGGGTGATGAGAGTAGGGAGAAGGGTGATGAGAGTAGGGAGAAGGGTGATGAGAGTAGGGAGAAGGGTGATGAGAGTAGGGAGAAGGGTGATGAGAGTAGAGAGAAGGGTGATGAGAGTAGGGAGAACGGACGATGAGAGTAGGGAGAAGGGTGATGAGAGTAGGGAGAAGGGTGATGAGAGTAGGGAGAAGGGTGATGAGAGTAGGGAGAAGGGTGATGAGAGTAGGGAGAAGGGTGATGAGAGTAGGGAGAAGGGTGATGAGCGTAGGGAGAAGGGTGATGAGAGTAGGGAGAAGGGTGATGAGAGTAGGGAGAAGAGTGATGAGAGTAGGGAGAAGGGTGATGAGAGTAGGGAGAAGGGTGAGGAGAGTAGGGAGAAGGGTGGTGAGAGTAGGGAGAAGGGAGATGAGTGTAGGGAGAAGGGTGATGAGAGAAGGGAGAAGGGTGATGAGAGTAGGGAGATGGGTGATGAGAGTAGGGAGAAGGGTGATGAGAGAAGGGAGAAGGGTGATGAGAGTAGGGAGATGGGTGATGAGAGTAGGGAGAAGGGTGATGAGAGAAGGGAGAAGGGTGATGAGAGTAGACAGAAGTGTGATGAGAGTAGGGAGAAGGGTGATGAGAGTAGGGAGAAGGGTGATGAGAGTAGGGAGAAGGTTGATGAGAGTAGGGAGAAGGGTGATGAGAGTAGGGAGAAGGGTGATGAGAGTAGGTAGAAGGGTGATGAGAGTAGGGATAAGGGTGATGAGAGTAGGGAGAAGGGTGATGAGAGTAGGGAGAAGGGTGATGAGAGTAGGGAAAAGGGTGATGAGAGTAGGGAGAAGGGTGATGAGAGTAGGGAGAAGGGTGATGACAGTAGGGAAAAGGGTGATGAGAGTAGGGAGAAGGGTGATAAGAGTAGGGAGAAGGGTGATGAGAGTAGAGAGAAGTGTGATGAGAGTAGGGAGAAGGGTGATGAGAGTAGGGAGAAGGGTGATGAGAGTAGGGAGAAGGGTGATGAGAGTAGAGAGAAGGGTGATGAGAGTAGGGAGAAGGGACGATGAGAGTAGGGAGAAGGGTGATGAGAGTAGGGAGAAGGGTGATGAGAGTAGGGAGAAGGGTGATGAGAGTAGGGAGAAGGGTGATGAGAGTAGGGAGAAGGGTGATGAGCGTAGGGAGAAGGGTGATGAGAGTAGGGAGAAGGGTGATGAGAGTAGGGAGAAGAGTGATGAGAGTAGGGAGAAGGGTGATGAGAGTAGGGAGAAGGGTGAGGAGAGTAGGGAGAAGGGTGGTGAGAGTAGGGAGAAGGGTGATGAGTGTAGGGAGAAGGGTGATGAGAGAAGGAAGAAGGGTGTTGAGAGTAGGGAGATGGGTGATGAGAGTAGGGAGAAGGGTGATGAGAGTAGGGAGAAGGGTGATGAGAGTAGACAGAAGGGTGATGAGAGTAGGGAGAAGGGTGATGAGAGTAGGGAGAAGGGTGATGAGAGTATAGAATAGTGTGATGAGAGTAGGGATTGAAGATTGGTTCGCACGCATAGAAAATTTTGTGCCCGCGATGACGGCCGTGCCTGTCCACAAATGCTAAGGAAGCGCTTGGATCCCGTTAGGCGTAGGGAAAAGCATCCAACGACCCGAATATTGTTGCATATTGGTATGGCCCATGTTCAGGTTGGTTCGCGCGCACAAGAAAGTCTGGCGCCCGCGATGACGGCCGTTCCTGCCCACAAATGCTAGGGAAGCGCGTGGATCCCTATAGGCATAAGGAAAGGCATCCAACGACTCGAATATTGTTGCACATTCGGGTGGCACATGTTCAAATACGCCTACCAGGGCAACTTCAGCTTGGTTCGCGCGCACAGAAAAGTTCGGCGCCCGCGATGACGCCCGTTTCTGCCCACAAATGCTAAGGAAGCGCATGGATCCTTATAGGCGTAGGGAAAAGTATTGAACGTCCCGAATGTTGTTGCATATTCGGATGGCTCATGTTCAAATACACCTATCAAAGCAACTTCATATTGGTTCGCACGCATAGAAAAGTTCGGCGATCGCGATGACGGCTGTCTGCCCACAAATGCTAAGAAAGCGCTTAGATCTCTATAGGCATAAGGAAAGGCATCCAACGACCCGAATATTGTTGCACATTCGTGTGGCCCATGTTCAAATACACCTACCAGAGCAACTTCAGCTTGGATCTCGCGCACAGAAAAGTTTGGCCCATGCGATGACGGTCGTGCCTGCCCACAAATGCTAAGGAAGCGCATGAATCCTTTTAGGCGTAGGGAAAAACATCGAACGACTCGAATCTTGTTGCATATACGCGTGACCCATGTTCAATTACACCTATCGGAGCAAATTTACATTCGTTCGCGCGCACAGAAAATGTCTAGCCCGCGATGACGGCCGTGTCTGCCCACAAATGCCGAGGAAGCGCATGGATCCCTATAGGCGTAAGGAAAAGCATCCAACGACCCAAAATTTGTTGCATATTCGGGTGACCTATGTTCAGATACACCTACCGGAGCAACTTCAGCTTGGTTTGCGCGCACTGAAAATTTCGGCGCCCGCGATGACGGTCGTGCCTACCCACGAATGCTGAGGAAGCGTATGGATCCCTATAGGCATAGGGAAAGGCATCCAACGACCCAAATATTGTTGCATATTCGGATGGCCCATGTTCAAATATACCTATCAAAACAGCTTCATATTGGTTCACACGCACAGAAAAGTTCGGCGCCCACGATGACGGCCGTGCCTGCCCTCAAATGCTGAGGAAGCGCATGGATCCCTTTAAGCGTAAGGAAAAGCATCCAACGACCCAAAATTTGTTGCATATTTGGGTGACCTATGTTTATATACACCTACCAGAGCAACTTCAGCTTGGTTTGCGCGCACTGAAAATTTCGGCGCCCGCGATGACGGCCGTGCCTACCCACGAATGCTGAGGAAGCGTATGGATCCCTATAGGCGTAGGGAAAGGCATCCAACAACCCAAATATTGTTGCATATTCGGATGGCCCATGTTCAAATATACCTGTCAGAACAACTTCATATTGGTTCACACGCACAGAAAAGTTCGGCGCCCACGATGACGGCCATGCCTGCCCTCAAATGCTGAGGAAGCGCATGGATCCCTATAAGCGTAAGGAAAAGCATCCAACGACCCAAATATTGTTGCATATTCGGGTGGCCCATGTCAAATACACATATCAGAGCAACTTTATATTTGTTCGCGCGCACAGAAGAGTTCGGCGCCCGCGATGGCGGCCGTGCCTGCCCACAAATGCTAAGGATGTGCATGCATCTCTACAGGCTTAAGGTAAAGCATCCAACAACCCGAATATTGTTGCATATTCGGGTAGGCCATGTTCAAATACACCTTCCATAGCAACTTCAGCTAGGTTCGCGCGCACGGAAAAGTTCGGCGCCCGCAATGACGGTCGTGCCTGCCGACAAATGCTAAGGAAGCGCATGGATCCCTATATGATCCTTCCGCGTTTTGGGGCTGGAAGCGCTCGTTCCGAGCGTTTTTCTTCCGCTGGATCACGTGGCTGCGCTTGTCTGGGCCTATTACCGAGCCAGCAAGGGCGTGGGAGGGTTGCGAGCATCATCGGTCATCGATGCTCGCGAATGAAGAGCGCCCGCTGCACTTCTTGCACATGTGAGGATCCTTCCGCGTTTTGGGGCTGGAAGCGCTCGTTCCGGGCGTTTGTCTTCCGCCAGGTCACGTGGCTGCGCTTGTCTGGGCCTAATACCAAGCCAGCAAGGGCGTGGGAGGGTTGCGAACATCATCGGTCATCGGCGATCGCGAATGAAGAGCGCCCGCTGCACTTCCAGCACATGTGCGGATCCTTCCGCGTTTTGGGGGTGGAAGCGCTCGTTCCGAGCGTTTTTCTTCCGTCGAGGCACGTGGCTTCGCTTGTCTGGGCCTATTACCAAGCCATCAAGGGCGTGGGATGGTTATGAGTATCATCGGTCATCGGCGCTCGCGAATGAAAAGCACACGCTGCATTTCCTGCACATGTGCGAATCTCTCCGCGTTTTGGGGGTGGAAGCGCTTGTTCCGAGCGTTTTTCTTCCGTCAGGGCACGTGGCTCCGCTTGTCTGGGCCTATTACCAAGCCATCAAGGGCGTGGGAGGGTTGCGAGTATCATCGGTCATCGGCGCTTGCGAATGAAGAGCGCCCGCTGCATTTCCTGCACATGTGCGAATCCTTCCGCATTTTGGGGGTGGAAGCGCTTGTTCCGAGCGTTTCTCTTCCGCCGGGTCACGTGGCTGCGCTTGTTTGGGCCTATTACCAAGCCAGCAAGGGCGTGGGAGGGTTGCGAGGTAATGGTAATGGTAATGATAATGATAATGATAATGGTAATGGTTATTGTTATGGTAATGGTGTCAAATCATAATGTTCTGTAGGCTATAGTGGGGTAGCCTATATGGGGTACACATTTCTAGGGTTGCACATTTGTACCACATTCCATTCCTTAGTGCACTCATTCTCGTTTCAATTCTCACATGGTATCGAGCAGGTTCCCTTGTGGGAACTGTGCCTAGGGCCCACCAAGCCGAAAGTTTTTTTTTTCCTGCCCGGAGCGCGCTCTGCCCGAGTCGCGCTCCCTTCTCTGACTTCGTCGAGCCGCCCTAGCGGCCAAGTCGCGCCGCCTTAGCGGCCCCTGATTCGTCGCCCTAGCGACCCCGTCGCCCTACCTACGACCCCGGCCCCGTCGCCCTACCTGCGCCTCGGCCCCGTCGCCCTACCTGCGCCCCGGCCCCGTCGCCCTACCTGCGCCCCGGCCCCGTCGCCCTACCTGCGACCCCGGCCCCGTCGCCCCCCCCCCTTGCGACCCTGGCCCCGTCGCCATACCTGCGGCCCCGGCCCTAGCCCCGTCGCCCTACCTGCGCCCCGGCCCCGGCCCTGTCGCCCTACCTGCGCACCGGCCCCGTCGCCCTACCTACGGCCCGGCCCCGGCCCCGTTGCCCTGCCTACGGCCCGGCCCCGTCGCCCTACCTTCGACCCGGCCCCGTCGCCCTACCTACGGCCCGGCCCCAGCCCCGTCACCCTACCTACGGCCCGGCCCCGGCCCCGTCGCCCTACCTTCGACCCGGCCCCGTCGCCCTACCAGCGCCCCGGCCCCGTCGCCCTACATGCGCACCGGCCCCGTCGCCCTACCTTCGACCCGGCCCCGTCGCCCTACCTACGGCCCCGCCCGAACCGCCTACGCAGCCGAGCCGCCCGCGCCGCTCAGCAGCCCGAGCCGCCCGTTCCGCCCGAGCCACCCGAGCCGCCCGAGCCGCCCGAGCCGCCCGAGCCGCTTGAGCAGCTGAGGAGCCGAGCCGCGGGTGCCGCCGAGCCGCAGTTGCTGCCGAGCTGCCCGAGCTGCCCGAACCGCCCTGTCTGGTGAGCGCAGCGCCTCTGTCACTGCACTACCCCTGCTCTACAGTCAGCGCTGCAAGTCTACTGTTGTCATGGATACCCCTAGTGTCCTCGCTTTTGACGCCGAGGGTCGAGCCATTGACTTTGACGTCTGGGTAGATGACCTGCAGCTGTTCTTACAGTGTGATAGGGCAGACAGCCTCTCTCTCTTTGACCTCACCTCTGGCGCTGTCCCTGCCCCTGCTGCTGATGTTGACGCCACTGTTCGCTCCCAGTGGGCCACACGCGACGCTGCTGCACGTCTTGCTGTGCGTCACCACCTCCCTACCACTGAGCGTGCGCACTTTAGTCAGTACAAGAGTGCACAGACCTTGTACGACGCTGTAGTTGCGCGCTACTCCTCCCCTGCCACTGCTGCACTGAGCCGTCTCATGCTACCGTACCTCTTCCCTGACCTTGCTGCTTTTCCCACAGTCGCTGACCTCATTACGCACCTCCGCACTAGTGACACTCGCTACCGCGCTGCGCTTCCTGCTGACTTCTGCGCCAAGAACCCCCCCCCCATATACATCACTCTCTACTACATAGTCACTCGCCTCCCTGACTCCCATCACGTAGTCAGGGACCACTTCCTCTCAGTCTGTCCCACCACTCTCACTGTTGACCTCCTCGAGAAGTCCCTCCTAGTGGCCGAGAAGAGCATAGTCGCTGTAGGGGCCTCTCGTGGTGACCCGCGCACCCCCATCTTTGAGGGTTGTTCCCCCTCCCCCCTTCTACCCTCTGTTGCCTCTGCTGCTGCGGCCGACCTCCTTGGTCTTGAGTCGGTCGGTGCGGCGTCTGCCCCTAGCGGGAGACGCCGCTCTGGCAGGAGCAAGGGGGGCAGGGGCACTGGAGGAGCAAGCGGGGGCGGTGGAGGTGGAGGCGGCGGGGGGAGTGGGGGTGGCGGCGGGAGTGGAGGTGGGGGTGGAGGTGTCGGTGGCGGCAGTGGAGGCGGAGGCGGCGGCAGCGGTGGCGGTGGGAGCGGAGGTGGCGGAGGTGGTGGCGGTGGAGGAGGCGGCGGAGGCGGCGGTAGTAGCGGAGGCGGCGGAGGCGGCGGAGGCGGCGGGGGTGGCGGTGGAGCTGGTCGCGG